TGGACGACGAGCTTGCGCTCGTGGATCACATGTCCTACTACAACGAGGTGAGCGCACACCAGAAGTGTCCAGCTATCAGGTCCAGCTGCATCATCTGTGCTATAGTCTACAATCCTTAAAGGGTGGTTATGTAGGGGGTTATTATAGGGGGAGTAGTATGCGGGTTATCACGCGGGATACTAGGAGTCTAGACTATGGCTCATCTGGACAAAGGGTATGCTGAAGCTGGCGCTTAGAGAGATGGTAAAAGTTGACATGATGTGATCCAAGTTGTTTTGCGACTCCAGCCTTACGCGTTGCCAGACTATAAAGTTCGCAGTTGGACAAACCACATGCCAGTAGAAACCAGCGCAAAAACTAGTTGCGGCAGGAGGAGAACCCACAAGCTACAGCAGTGGCAGCGGCAGCCTTCACTGTTGTTTTGAAGTTTCCCAAAACCCCTTTTCGTGACCCTCTGTCAAGATTCTTACTCTGCGGAGTGTAGAAGGGAAGGCATTTTTTCAACAACTGCCTTTACCCTTAAGCGCCCAAGTACCTAAACAATACAAGTACGTTGGGCCCCAAGTACATGCTATCTAAAGGTTCTTGGACATATACCCCAAATGCTCCCAAATATCCCAAATGTAGATCAGATGTATAGACTTTGGGGCCCAAAGTAGCCTTTATTCATAGACATGGGGCCATAGGGTTAGGGCCTGATAGCTGCCCCTCAGGGTCCAAGGACCCAAATAACAGGGCTTAAGGGCCCAAATTCCAGTAAAATTATCGTATTTGGGCCCTAAAGCCCTATTATTTGAGTCCTTGAACTTCAGGGATTGCTTTGAACCCTAAACCCTGAACCCTGAAGGCTAGCTTCTACGAGTCCGATCTGCCAGACCGCATCTGCAGCAGCGGCGCTCGCTGCCCTCGGCCTCTGCTGGTCGAGCGATCCAAGGACTCCCCGGCACTGCTTCTTTACTCCTTGGTACCCCTTTGGGATTCCCCTATATTCCTATTATAGGTAATTAAGGGTTAACCCTTAGTAGGGGTCCTAAGTGCCATGTAGTTTACCCTGCATGGAGTCCCTAGAGCACTTCAAGGGCATTGGGACCAGCCAGTCCTTCAATCAATGGACCACGGCGGGTAAATCTCCAGTGTCTGGCGTCCTGTCCTAAGATTAGTCGCTGTGACAGCCGTAGGTGCCAGCTCAGCAGGGGGGGTGATGGCGGTGGCGACGGCTGCGTTGGTGGTGGCGGTGGTGTCAGCGATTGCAGATGCAGTTGCATTTGCGGTTGCATTGGTTGTGGTGTCGTTGGCAATGCATATGGGAAAAGTGGAATGAGAAGGCAACAAAAAGTGCTGCCTGGTACAGCACCCGTCTGCAGGCTGGAAGTGCTGGAAAAACATGACCCATCCCTGCCTTCAAATCGGCCCATGGTGAGCAAACTACACATGTTGTGGACACTAATGCTGTGGCTGTTGCGTCTACTTCTACTACTACTACTACCACCGCTACTCATAACAATAATAAGACTAAGCACCAGAACTATTATCGCTGTGCTGTGTGATGTTTGCAGCAGCTTGCTTTACGAGTTGGCAGCTTATGCGCCGTGCCCACGAGTACAGCAGACCCAATGCATGAGAAAGATCCTTCAATTGTCAGAAACTCCCGTGTAGGGCAGGCTCACCATGAAGCACGAGCCCTAAACCCTAACCCTAAGGGTCCAAGGATAGTATTTGGGTCCTAAAACCCTATTATTTGGGTCCTTGGACCCTTAGGGTAAATTGCATCTGCAGGATGGCGAGGTCACCATCTGCAGCTCGGACGTATTCGGTACTGTAGTTTTACAGACTTAGGGCTTTGTTGTTCCACAAGAAACTTGCAAAAGGGCCTGTGAGAACTCACCCGGCCTGACTCTGGACATGCAAAGATCCTCACTCAGATCCTCTTGGCTAAGATCTTCCAAAGCCCTTCAAAGGTTTTGCCCTACATGGTTTAGGGTTTAGCGTACCTGAACCCTAAACACTTAACCATGCCCTCATGGAAGCCGCCCCTGGACCCTCTAACACTGTGCGTCATCCAGGTTTCAACCCTTCGTTGCGAAGCCTAGCATCCTCCTTACTTGGTTAGGGGGTTCAGGGTTTAGAGTGTTTACGGGGTTCAGGGTTCAGGATTTAGGGGTTCAGGGTTGAATATGTAGTTATCCAGAAACCGTCATATCCCTCAATTACGGAAGCTAACTTAAATCATATGAGGGATCCTAGTATCATACAGGTTCTTTAATTGGGGGATATTGGGCCGGATATTGGGCTTTCTGGGTATGTCAGTAAAGCGGGCACCTTTTCTTTCCCCAAACCCGACGCTGGAAGGCCTGACTACCTAACTGTTTGCCCCACAGCCCTTCACCGTGATTTAGGCTTTAGGGCCTGATCTGAACCCTAAGCCTGAAATCGAAGCATCCTAGGGAAACCCAAGCTATGACCATGTAATATATATATACATATAGTCTCCAGCAGTTAGGTTCGTAGATGCTGCTCGTGTTTCGTGATATACCTACGTATACGCTATGATGACCTGCTGCGCCCCGAAACCTCCAACACCCTAAGCTGAAAACCCTTAAGCCCTGGGATATCTGGTAGTTTCCTTAAATAGGTACCCCCCATTTATCGCTATTTGTCCCCTATAAAACCTTATATAACCCCTATAAACCCCTTTAAAGGGGATTGCTGGGACGTCTTGCTCCAAGGCATGACGAAGCTACCCGGGCGTGGTTTCTCACGGGCTCCTGAGCAGACGACCCTAGCCCGCACGGGAACAAAGGGATTCTGGGGCACTGTAGAAATGATAAATTGGTGGTTTCGCAAAATTAGACGTAACTCTTACCCCTATAATGGAGATTCAAACGGAAAACATGAAACATGAAATGCAAACTGGGGATATTTATCTGTATACATACATAGATTGCATGCGCAATGGCCAAAACCTGCGGAGGGAGAATGTGTTGTTGCACCAGGTTACGATCCTCCTAAACCCTATGCCCATCCCCAGTTTTGAGAAACCTCCACATGTCAGGCGTTTCAGGCTTTGCAAAGCTGCAGATGACGTAGATCAGAGACCCCTGACACCGCTCTTATGGGACACGCCCTTCATGCCTCAGATTTCCCTTCAGTTTTTCGGGTTTGGTTGTTTCAAAATTGATTAGTTTGGTGGTTACGGAGGGTTCACAACATCCTCGAAGTGATGTTTAGTGACTGTCCCTAGGCTTCGATGGGCCCAGACCAGATTCAGACTTCGTGCAGGATGCGATGTAGCCATGTTCTGAATCTTGGAAACCCTTACAGCTTGTCAGAACATGAGCGCGCAACTGTTGTTCTAACTGTACTGAGCACCACAAGCACCCCTTGGGCAAGAGCAACTAGACCTTGACGTAGATCTTCTCGTCAACCGTCTTATCAGGATAGATTTTGAATGGCTATTGTTATAGCCCAGTTCAAGGACATTTTAATCCCATCTAATTAGATTATAAAGCAATCTACCCCTGAACCCCAAACAAGCTCTGTATGTCATCCCTAAACCATATCCTAAACGCTAAACATGACAGCCCAGGAAGGCAGCCCTTTCCTGGTTGGCCAAGCTACATGCTTCTCGGTCGACGTTTTGGATCCTTGATACTTGGGAGGAGTTGCTCAAACAGGGTACCCCAATGGATCCGATAGTATATGGGATGAAAAACGGAGAACCCCATTAGTGATTGCATCGGCATTGCTTTGAGAAACCGCCCATTTTTTACACTCAAACGTTTCATGGGTTCCCCTACTACACCTCGTCATGCTACCCCTCCCAAGGTTTACCAGATTACCCTGGATTACTGCCTTAATTCAGGTCGGAAAACTAGAGCTAGTTGAGGTATATTGAGTGGAGGGGGCTGGTATAGGTGTCGGGGGAGTAGGAGAACCCATGAGAAACGGGGACCGAACCCTCAACCCTAAACCGACTCTAAACCCTAAACCCTACACCCTCGAGGCCTGTTTCTGGGGAAGGCGAGCAGAAACTGCTGCCGCGCCAGGGACTTACCTTGACATCCGCAAGCCATGCATAATCACAGCAAGCTGCCGGGAAACGCCGGACCGGAGATGTCTTTTCAGAGGATGTAGTATTAAGATTATTACTTGTATCATTTTGATTAATGTTGGACCTCCTTTAGCC